GGGAGAGGGAGAAGCAGGTTTCCTGCTGAGCAGGGAGCCCGATGTGGGGCTCAATCCCAGGACCCTGGGATCATGACCTGAGCCGAAGGCAGATGCTCAACGACTGAGCCACCCAGGCTCCCCAGTTTTACATAATTTTCAACATCAATGCCTCTTCTAGTCAATTCCATTGCCAGGAAATATAACTTTTAAGTAATTCTGACTAAGTATAAATATGGTAATTTAATTCAATAAGACTTTCAAAAATTACTTGAGAAATCTATGTTAACTATAGAAGAATTCTCCCATCTTTGTCTATCAATAGTAGTTTAAGAAGAAAAAACAAATATGGTATAATTCTGTGAGGAGTATTTTCTGTGATATTCTTTTCTTTTTGCACCTACCAATCCTTCCATTGAGGTCATGGAAAACATATATAGAGAGAGAAATTAAAACTAATAGACTTAAATTAATATCCATTATATGCATTTGAGAGCTTTAGTTTTTTGCTATAGTAGTCACTACTTCCTTAACATTCCTGATACTGTTTCATGGTAGGAGTTAGCTCATCAGTGAGAAGATCAAGGAAAGTTTGTGTTATTAACCCCCCTCTTTACATACGCTAATGTGATTCTCTTTTCTTCGTCTTTCTTTAAAAGATACCAGCACATAGCTTAGATGGCACCATTCAAGTGGTCTAGTCTGAAACAAATGTAAATATTGTCTCTCTGTTATCCACGGAATTACCTTCCTAATATACTTGTGGAATATAACACAGCCATACTGCACATCCTGATTCTATTCTCCGAAAGATTATTTACATAATTACTCATTATAAAGCAAGAATGTAACAGCAAACCAAGAAACCAGGTTTTGCACTGATGGTCTTTACATCGCTTTAGAAAAGCTTATATGTGACTTTCTTCACAAATTTAAATCTGTTCATATTTTGGGAAAAATATATCCCCATGGCTCCTGAAGATAGCTGAAATTGCGAGACTTGGAAAAACATGTATCATCTGATGACAAAGACTGCTGCCCCAAATATTCCTGTATACTTTTACTAAAGTTTTCACTAGCTTTTGCCATCTACCTTATGTCACCGGTACTTGCAATAAACATGCAAATACCAGATCAGAAACACTGAGGTTCCCAAAGTGTGGCATGAGTACTACTGTCATTATACAAGATGATTTTCGGGGGTACATTAACATTTCACATTTTAATAGATACACATTTATTTTAGTGTATTAGAAAAAATACACCTAGCAAATCAAACTCATTACTCTACAGTTATTCTTTTTTGGGTCAAGTTTTCTTCTTGTATAACTTTAAGTTTAAAAAGTGAGTGCATTTAAAGAAAATATTAGGTAAATACTATTTAGAGCTTCTGTCATGATGGAGGCTGGCCAATGTGATGAGTGGAAAAACGAGGTGCAAAGTTGGGGTCGGTTAAAAGTGGTCTGGTTTTAGCTGTCACTAATTAGCTGTGCTGCTTTAGCCAAGTCAGACTTCTTTGGGCATCTATTCCTTATTTGGAAAGAGATGGTTGGGGGTCACCATTCTATGATGTTTTGTTCTCTTTTCGAATGCCATTATAAGGAATACTGATCTCTGTAAAGCAAAATGCAACATTCTAAGACTTAACACAAGATGTACTCACTTCAACTAGTCAGGGAAATCAGCAGAACTAATGTGGAATTTATTTACTTATTTATTTATTTATTCAGGAAAACACTCTACTGGTAGATTAGACTAATTCTTTGAAAGATTAGACATAAACCTGAATTTACTTAGTAGCTTTACTTTTTTTTTTTTTTTTTTTCAGATGGGAAGGATTCCAAGTACCTTTGGATTCTCTCATCAATATGACAGCCAAATAGAGGAGAGTTTTACGTGCCATATTTCACATGTGTTACTATATCCTCATCTGGGAGCAAGAAGCCTGGATGTCCCTGATAGAGTCAGATGAAGGATTTAAGTAAAGTCAGTCTTGAAAGAAAAATACATTTCAGTCTGACAAACTTTAGCTTAAGGTAAAGAGATGTGTTTTAAGAAACAGGAGGGGCCTGAAGCTCTATAACTTAAAATAGTTGGTTTTGGTTGCTGGTTTTAATTTTTCACTCTAAAAATAGAAAATATGTTAACCAGTTGCCTATCTTGGGGAGTAATAAAATGCGAACCCCAAATCAGCACTATGTGACTATAGAACAGTCTTGAATTAGTTCTTTTCCCAATGGTTGAAGGATACAAGTTCAAATAAAAATCCAACAGTGATTACCAAAAAGCATTCAATGTAGAAAATCTCTACCAAGTAATATTTTCATGGTCAGCCAGGCTTTTTGTTTTTTGTTTGTTCATTTGTTTTTGTTTTTTTTAAATAATCTCTATAGTTTGAAAAGTAAACCACCTTTTCCTTGAATTGGAGTTGCTGTCCCTTTTCTTAGAAGGTCCCAGGTTCACAGGGAAGACTGCCTTCTTGAAGGGTACCTATCTTTACTTCTGGCCTAAAAAGAAATTGGATTAACCAATTAGATTGTGAGATGAAAAAGAGAAGGTTTCTATGAAGATGATGAATTCTGTGAATATTTGAACTAAACATTTTGGAAATTATCCCATTTAGGACTAAAGTACTTCCATTTTCTATTTGGAATATGAATTACATCTATTTAACCTATTCAGCTCAACAAACAAAGGAACAAAAACAGACAGAACGAATACAATCTATTTTTTGTGGAAATATATCTGCTTGTAATGGTGCAAAAAAATAGCAAAGATGCCATGAGTGAAAAATTTTACCTGTGATCTCTAAAAGGGCATATTCATAGAACACATCTAAACATGCAATACAGAAGTATAGAAACTGGCCCTCTGGAATATCAGCAACTTCATTATCTGTGGCAATTTCAAAGGTCTCTTAGAAAATGTGGCTTCACAATTCCTAGTTTTTCCAATTATGCTATTAAAAATATCTATAACCGTGCATTCTTGATCTGTGATAATAATTTGGCCTTTGTCACCCTCAGTCACAGTGCATCTCTGGCCCACTGGGGAAGACCGAGTGTGCTGTGTGGAGCTGTTCCTGACCGGACCAATCACTGCTGGCTCAGTCTCCTCCGCAGAATGGCAGCCAGCCTTTGTCTGGTCTCATTTACTGATGATGCTCGACCCCTGGGAGGATGGGGTTGGGGCACAGTGGGCAAACCTGAGCTGCTGAGCCTCTGGGACTGAGCCAAGGTTGGGGAAGCAGTGGGTTTTGCCACTCCGTGCAGGCTGGGGATTTTGATTCCTTTTCCAGAGTTCAGTCTTGTAAGGCTTCTCTCTCCCTGATTACTGACCACGGCAGCAGAGGAGGTTAGGCTGCCCTGGTTAAGGGAACACGGTGACAAAGGTGAACTTCCACTGAGCTTCCTGAGCTCCAGAAGCTGTTCTCTGGCTTGACTCAAAGCCTCTGTCAGTTCAAAGCGTTCTTCGCACTCCCTTCGCACTGTTTCCTGAAGAAAAGTGTTCTGAAATGAGAAAGGAGTGGGGAAGCATCCCTAGCTTTACACTGTACATATGGAAAGTCACTGGCAATATAAATGGAGAATTAAACCAGAAATCAGAGGTCTTGTCTTTGACAGTCTTTGTGGATACTCTACCACATGGGTCAGACAAGTCAAAAAGACGAATGATTTGTGAAGTTGGAAAAAACTTTAAGAGGACATTTGATTCAACCCTTACAGTTTGCAGAATAGGAAACAAGAGCCAGGATCACTCAGATGGGTAGTGGGGGGCTGGGGCTGGAACCCAGAACTTCTAACGCCTACTTTAGTGGGGTTTCAGCTTGTTGGCACATGTGATGTCTAATAGTTAATATCTGTAGGGGCAAGTATGTTATTTTATAATAAAGGTAAATTGCAATATATAAGACAGATAAAATTGCTTGAATTATAAGACTGAAAGAATTAAACATATCAGCTATGACATTTAAACAGTAAAATCAGTTACTTTATATGATGCTTTCTCAATAGAACTTAAATATACTGATCATTTGCCATTTTGTAAGATATATATCAAAATAAAGAACATCTTTTGCTTTTAATTCCATTCAGCAATCATTTATCAAGTCATTAGAAGCTGTAGTGGATACAATACCTGCCCTCAAGAAGTCTGCAGCCTCGTGAGTTTGAGCAGAGCCATTTTTTTATTTCTCTAACAGAATTTGGAGCCAAGGGTAGTAGCTATGGGGTTGAAGATAAGGAAGAACATTTTAACAGCCAGAGCTGTCCAGAGGATACTCTGAAGGGTTGACTCTCACTTGACTGGGATGTACTGGAGCAAATTTAAGCTTCAAATGTGTGATAAGACTAGAGATCACTAAGGCCCCTTCAAATTCTGAGACTCTACAGTTTCAGTTGAAGAGTTACCCATCTTTCATCTATGGTATTCATCCAAATTACTTCAAGGCCTATGGTAAGAATTAGTCTTGGATCCTTCTAACCTCCTGACATTCATGTGTGTAGGATATCAAAAAAGAGGTTGAAAAGTAAACAATTCAAGGGAGTACACAATTAAAATGATTGTGCCATAGGATTCTTCAGATAAAAATGAATTTCCATCAGGTTAGTTTGTTTGTAAAACTATCCAAGGCCTTCCCAAATCTGACTCTCAGTGGGAAGTATCCTCCTAAGGCTTTACTGACTAATCTGCTGTCAGTGGAACTAAATAACAAAGCATCCGAGAAAGTAGCATCTTCCTGTATTTGCATTTCTTGTGATTATGATCAGAACTCTATTCAATTCCAAATTTGGTAATCAGAATCGAAGAATATAGCACAATTCCAGATTAACAGTTGCTCCATAATTTTCTATAAAATCAGCAGCATGTCTGGGTCAAACAAAGTCTCATCATTTACATATATTAACACACACATGTGTCCATATAATCATATATTTTAAAAAATCATGAGGGTTAAGTATTTGCTTCCAGTTAGATTGTTTTTTTGTTTTGTTGTTGTTGTTTTGGGTTTTTTTTTGAGGAACTGGAGACCAAGGATGGTGTTTGTGGCTTTCTCTTCTGGTTTTCCTTAACTTTACCTAAAATACTTGTTGCAAAGGTAAGGGAGGGAGGGCTAGAGAAGATTAATCAGTTGCTACGTTAGGTGTCATCTCATTTCCTGCTCTTAATAACTATATTTGACAAAGAAAGACACCGAAGCCCCACTGCTTATATAACTTGCTGAGAGTAACTCAGCTCTGAAGTGGCAGGGTCCTTCCTGCTTCCAGAGCCCTGCTCCAAGATGCCCATGCCTAAATGAATTGTGTAACTAATTATATCAAGCATGCAGGGACCATTTTGTTCTAGGACATGGAAGCAATAGTAAAAAAAAAAAAAAAAAGACACTTCATTTGGTTTTGCCCAAGTTTTCTAAACATAACCTAAACTTTTAAAAGGCACAGCCATCAATGCTTTATTTCCTCTCTACTACTGAGTTAGCTGGCAAATGTGTTGAAGTGATTAGATTTACGGGGCTTTCAATAACTTTGTATAAAAAAATTCCCTTGATTAAGAAAGCTATAAGAAAGACTTAAGTTTATTTGAATACATAAAAGAAAAGAATGAATAGCAGTTAACTAATGAGGTCAATAAATTGGTGACATGAATAATAGGTCCACCAATATGGAAAGATAACATGATGGGTGATGTGATGACAAGAGTTCTCATTAAAAGAAAAATAAAATTCAATCCATTTACTAAAATTAAATTCAAGTCTGAAAGGAAGGGAGCAGTGTTCTATGGAAAACATCCATAAAGCAAGTCACTTAAAAGCTACTTTAGGCAAGTGACACTCCACTGAAGGAGGAAATGAAAAGGTGGAGTGAACCCAAAGATGCCCCCATAGCAAGTATAATGGGAGCAAAGTGCCTGCCAGCTCCAGATTGAACTTTGGAAGGGCTGCTGACGATCTTGGTCTGGGGCCCACTACTCTGGAACTCATCCTTCTTCAAGGCTATTAGCTTCCAGTACAAAGGACTATTTCTCTTTCTTCTATTATTTCCAAGCCAGGAGGACCTCTGAACTGAAAACAAGCTGCGGAGTTAGAACTTCTATTTTTGTCATTGCTACAAATGTTGTGAAATCTCAGGTGAATCTCACAATATCTGCATATCCTCTGCTACCATCCTCTTTTCTTTTTAGGGGGTGCAGAGAGAGAGGGAGAGACAATCCTAAGCAGGCTCCATGCCCAGTACAGAGCCCGAAGCAGGGCTTGATCTCACAACCCTGAGATCATGGCCTGAGCTGAAATCAAGAGTCAGACACTTAACCAACTTAGCCACCCAGGCTCCCCTGCTACCATCCTCTTTCAAAATTGAGATTACAACTCAGTTTTGTACAACAGGCAATTCAGATGTTATAAATTTATCCAACTATGGAGTAACAAAATGGAAATAGAACACATCAAGTTGAGAGGATTGCTATTTCAGGGGTGGACTGTGTGTGACAGGGCATGACAAGAGCACACGTGGATGTGGCCAGAGTCAGTAAGGCACATAAGTGGAAAATTCCATCATGTGTGAAAAAGAATCATTCACTTGTGATTAGATTGCTTTCGGTGATTTAGGCAAAATGTCTCTTTGGGGGCTGTGTTTTTGGAAGGTTGTATTGTTATAGGATTTTAATGTGTGTTCTCATTGAACAACATAGGAAAATGTGTAAGATGGAAGTACAGTAAGATTGAAAACACTGGGCAAACATGAGAATAATCAGTGAAGCCATACATTCTAAATGTTTCAGGTAAAATTATCTTTGGCCATATCTTAGCATGGTAAAATTGTATCACTGGATTGCAACTAAACTGTAAGTCAAAACAAAAAGGGAGGCATAAGCCAGGTGAAGAAGGGGCAGTGGGGTTTACCCAGGCAAAGTGGGCAGGGAGTACAAATGCCTGGCAGCATGAGAGGGAGAGGCACATCTTGGGACGACAGGTAGCTTAGTAGGACTCAGGTGCAAAGTGCAGAAGGGGAGGAGAAACAAGGACTGAGGCAGAGAAGAGTGAGCAGGGTCAGATTGAAGATGACTTTAGTAACATAATAATAGAGTTTTAACTTAATTCTGAGGGCTGTATGGAGTCATTGAAAGGTTCATTTCAAGCAGGGGGCTGGCATGGTCAAATTTGCATTAAGGGAAGATCCCTTTGCTAGCTCTAGGGAAAACGGCCCCAAGTGGGACAAGATGGGAGGCAGGGAGGATAGCAGGAGGCCAGCGTTTTCACAGAGGAGGTTCCTATCCCATGTGTCCCTTGATTAGGGTGGGCTGGGCATGGAAGAACTACTGTTTCTGGGTTCTTAAGCTCTGTTGATGGTGAAGAGCATTATCTGTAGATACGTCTATAACATTTTCAGATGAAGGCCCCTTTGAGTGGTTTTAAAATATGGCTTAATTGCACTCCCAATGGGTAAGTAAATGTCAAAATGAAAATATAAATTAGCTCGCCATCTGTTTGAAATTTCTAATATTAAAAAATGGCCAATTTCCCCCACTCTTTGCAATGTAAGTGTGGTTTATTTTTATGTTTGTTTTCATTTTTATCCTTAGAGACAGCTGGATTGCTTTCAATTCCAAAAACAGTGGAAGAAGCAAGAGAAGGCTTTGCCGGCTAACTTGATCACTCTGAAGGTGAGAGTCCCATTTGTGATGGCAATCACCTAAATTTGGCAATTGGGGGAACATGCCAAGAAAGCAAGTCCTCAGTGAAGAATAAGTACAGATGGGTGTCTTTCTTTGTGCTTTATACCCAGTGAGGTCTGAACCAGTCATGGAATGATCAGATTATAGTTTTCATCCACCCAAACTAGATATGTTCCAGGGTGAGTGGATGGCTGAACAAATTGGGGGGGGGACCACGGGGGGAGCAGAAACAAAGGAAAACTGTGGGAAAAGTGTGGAAATCAGAACAATGAGTAGGAGCTAGCCTTCCATTTAATGCTTCTGGTCAACTAATCTGATCGGCCCAAAACACTGCAGAAAAACAGTGGAAATGGCCCTTTGGTAAGACAGGAATGAGAATCTGAGTATATTTCTAGGAAAGAAGTAAGATGGATATTAGGCAGGTTGTTCTAAAATTGTATCCCTATGCTCACAAACATAATAGGCACTGTGAAAGATCAAAACAGAAGTAGAAACAGGGAAATAATCTCCTGGACTAATATGCTTCAAGAGCAGATTTTCAGAATGGGGAGGAAAAGCCCATGAAGTCACAGAGTTCAGGATTCATTTTTCTAAGTCAACAATCTACTTAGAATTTAATTGGTATTAATTCAGTACAACAGAAACAATTTCTTCATATTTTTTCTCATTATATCAATTTTCTGGCATCTACACTTTGCATCAGGACAAACAGTCTCTGACATGTAAAAGGCAGCCTTGTTTAGCTCTCCCTCTCCTCTACTGAAGGCTCTCAGTCTGACCACCACACTCCTGTCTGCCACATGCCCCACCATTAAGGTTCTCAGGCTGTCAGTTCACC